ATCAAGCTGAACATTGTGCCTGTCGCGACGACTCTGTTCCCCTCATCTCCTCCATCCTCCATCCTCCATCCTCCGCCCATCTCTCTGCTCCCTCCTAGCCCGCACTCCTTCCGATACCCGATTCCCTCCCTGCATCACTGCGTTCACACTCCTTCAAGGAGACTCTGGCGCCCAATCCACCTCACACCCTGTGCACGATCGAACGTTGCGAATCTTGCTCTTTCTGATCGATCTCCACCTCCAAAATGCGCTGCGTCTCCTTCACCACAGCTTGCATCGTACTGCTTGCAGCTTCGGCGTTCGCTGATACTGGCGCTTCTACTTCATACGATCGGCGACACGCTTCTAATGAGGTTCGACATGGCCATCGCGGCGTGCTGAGGCGGCTGAAACGAGCCGCTGGTATAGACCCTAGGGACATTCTCGAGGCAGGCTCCGAGAATAGCTCCGCATCATTAGTCAAGCGCGGCTACTCTGGCAGAGCCACGTACTACGAAGCTGGTCTTGGTGCCTGTGGCAGAACAAACAGCGGCAGTGATTTCATCGTTGCCGTCAACCCAGCTCAATGGGCAGGTGGCTCAAACTGCTTCAAGACCATCACAATCAGCGTTGGCGGAAAGTCTAGGACAGCTCAGATCACAGATCTCTGTCCTGGCTGTCCCCCGGGTGCGCTAGATCTCTCGCAAGGTCTCTTCACCCAATTCGCCGACACCTCGGCCGGCGTCTTTCAAATGTCTTGGTCGTTTGGAGATGGTGCACAGCCCACCACCACGAGTCGTACGAGCACGACGCCCAAGTCCACGTCGACCAAGCCTTCTTCAACCACCTCTCAAAGCTCCACACGCACGACGAGCTCCTCCACAAGCACCACCAGCACCACTTCCCAGAGCTCAAGCTCGCAGACTTCAAGCTCGACGTCTTCGTCCGCAACTACAAGCAGTACGGCACCTGCTGCTGGTGACAGCGGTGTGTTCGACGGCTTGTCAAAGATCATGTCTGGCATGCTCGGACTCGCAGGTGCTGGACAGTCGTTCGCAGACGGAGCTCCACCTGCGCCTGCTCCTGCGGCCAGTGTTCAAGAAGATCCTAGCGCTGCCCAACCAAGCTCAGCCTGAGCTCCGCGTCTCGTTGCGCGGAGAGCTTTATTCTCACCGAGGTTGCGACGTGCTGCCAACTGCCGCACCACGCTTCACTCTCGCAGGAGCTCTTTATCAACCATCTCGGTCAATCGATCCCAGCCTCATCACCATTGTCATCATCCAGCGCTCTTGAAAGGCATCTAGTTATGCCGGTCTTCAACTCGCACTCCGTCACCAATTTGTCTCTCGCCGAATTGCAACAACTCGTTGCAGTGGCTTCACTCACGGGCTCATCCTCGCTGCGCTGAGGTCGCCGCACCGCACCGCACCACACCACACATTCCTTCCACTCGTGGCCCCTTTTTATTCGGCTTCGTCTTTTTCATGTACTCATTAGCAGAGCTCAACCTTCCGACAACAAAATGTCTATGGACCGAGTCTTTCCACACTGGGCTTCCTTGTTTGACGTCAGAAGGAGGAAAGATTTGCGCGTCGCGCATCTCGATCGTTGGGGAAGGATCCAGCTGCCTCCCTTACGAAGGGCAAATGCGAGGTCTTTTTCACACCCGTCTACCCCGCGTAGCGAAGCTGGAGGATCAACGAGGCTTGCGTGCACGTTAATTCGCCCCCCTTTTCGCGTAAAATGAGGTGTTTCTTCGCATCGTGGCCCCGTGCAGCTCGCATTCGTGATTTGGTTTTTGGCCGCACCTTTTCTGACAAGGCGGGCCTCAATCGAGCCTCTGCGACAAATTGCATGCTGATGCGGCTCTACAACCACGGATCACACTCACACTGTGACTTTTCAAATGATGTCCTTGACGGAAGCACAACTCCGCGACATTCACGATTGCGAGACAAGCAAGCAACTCGACTGCTGGTAAGTTTTGCTGCCGGTGCTGACGACGAGGGTCAGCGCGCGCGTGGGCCTGATTGCGCACCGCGACGAGCAGAATAGTTTTCTGGTCCGAGACCGGACGCCTATATACAGTACTTCCCATGTGTCTCGTGGCGCGAAGCGCGTCTATATGAGCATCCTATAGCTGACCTTGATGAAACGGTATCAATATTCCGCTACAGACCTCAATGAACGGCTCCACAGCTCTCTTGATTGCGACCGCGGACATAAACAGGAGCGAATGCTGGACCGACCGCCCGTGGAGGCTGTAGCAGAGCAGACGAGAGAGCAAAGGCGCTCACATTCGCCCCTGTCTGAGGCCGCACGAAGGCCCCTTGCTCGTCGCTTGCATGTGTAGGAAATACGTGGAGCCATTGCCCCCCCGCGGTGCAGCAGGTCCGCGTCTTTCAGCGCAAATGCGATCTGCCATCTCGCCAAGACCGAGGAGATGAAACACGAGCGTTCGTGATGTTCTTCTCTCTGCAGTCGAAAGTCACGTCAAAAAAGGTTGCAAGTCCACCATTGTCGAGTGGTGAGTGGTGAGTGGTGAGTCGAGTTTGAGTGTTGTTCTTCCCCTTCAAAGCAAAGCTAGGAGCGGCTCGTGGCTGCATGTGTAGCATGCCCGCTCTGCACCTCGCCTAGCTGTCAGGGCTCAAGTGGGCAACTCGATCGTGCGCCCTGGCTGCTGGACCTTCCTTTGCTCCCTTCCGCGCATGCAAAATTGGAATTCAGCTGAAGCCACACAATCGCGAAGATGCGCCCATTGCTGCATGCATGCATGCAAGCTGCAGCAGCTGGATGGGTGAGAGTGCATACAGTACATGGTGATCTGCTTGCTTTAGCTGCAAGTCGTGATGATGCTCGAATGGCAAGCCTTTCGCAGTCACAGTGAGCGAATGCCGCACTTTAGGCTTGTGATTACGATTGACTTCAAGTGTACTCACACTCGTAACTGCAACACCAGCAGATCTTGATGAGAGAACAAATGGTCCAGAAAAGTGAATTCAGATCATCATCCAAACATGCATGCATGCCTGCCTGCCTGCCTGCCTGGTATGGGTTGCAAACCCTTGATTTCGATCCATGCTGGACTTCAAAGTGCCCATGCCCATCCGAGGTCGAGCCAATCACCACCAAGGCAGCGTCACTGCACGCATAGCGACACTCTGACTCGTGACGGTACGTAGGATGGCCGAGTGAGCGATACGGTATATGCACTCCCTCAACTCAGCTGCAGGGTCGCTTTGCGGAGTCAGATCGCTGGCGGCTGTTAGCTAGAGCTCAAAGAAGACCGATCACAAATCTCCTTTCCGTAGACAAGCCTTGAGCAGGAAAGTGCAGCAGGCAAGCAGTCAGCAGCGGCAGCAGCAGCAGCAGCAGCAGGCGGAACGGCCCTGCCTGCCCCCGGTCGGTCTGCGCCGGCGGTCATTACGATCAAATCACATACCGGAATACCTGCATACCTGCGTGAATGCTTTGATTGACGGCGGAGACACGATTCGAATCAGGAGGCTGAAGGTCACTCTGCGCACACTTTCTCTCAGCAGTCACAGTCAAGAATGTTGCACATCGCGTCCAAATATGCGAGTCTACAGGCAAGAGCTAGGTGTGCAGCCAAAGCTCTGACTTGAAAAGAGTGTATGAGTTGTGTGTGTGAGGTACGTACGACGGAGAGACTTAATGACTGGGCTAATTATACCTCGGACCGGCCTCT